TTAAGTTGGCGCAAAAAGATCGCAAGTCCCGAAAATTAATTATTTTCTTTAAACGCGATATCCTATGTCCTATCCTATTTCGTTTAAACGCGATATCCTATGCCCCGGCACGAAATTTATTGCCGCGCGCCATCTATTGCCGCTCGAGGGGGTTACGAGCCACCACCCGCAATAGATAATTGTCGCGTTGTCGGTATTGCAGTAAGGACCACTTACCTTGCGACGGCGGATCCCACGATGACCGATCGATAATCGTTATGGCGTCGCCGGCGTCATGTGACTCCATCATGTGACTCCGTCATGTGGTCCCTCGTTGGATCGGTTGTTGAGTTGCTCCCGCGGAGTAATCCCAATTGGTCACAACTCACTTAACACTTCACAATAGAACATACACTGCCACATATATCGCATTGTATGCGATATCACACACTTCATGTTACACACAGTAAGCCGCATCGGCGACTTAACACTCGCGACGGACGAAATTCACTCACGCGACACACGGAATAATCGGTCGACAATTAACGCGCGTTGTAGACCGGACACTCGCGACACTCCCGACACTCCCGTTCGCACCGCACTCGCGACTTTTTCGGCGGTTTGAGGCACGCGAGACGCGACAACTGAACTTCCGAGTAGCCGCGGAGCGGCCGCGATTCGCGACTATGGCTCACTCACGACGACCGAGACTTCCCGGCACGCGTCTCCCGGCGGCTGCTGGAACGCCACAAACGAGCTTACGAACGCGCCACTCACTCACGACACCCCGGACACGGGGCTCGCCCTCTCGGCGAGCCTAAATCGACGGAAACGCGGAGCCGATTCTCGCGGCCGACCGACATTTTCTCCGCGTCCGACAACTGTACGTTAACTAGATTCGCAACGGTTGTAACTTTCAAACGTGAAAGCAGCGGCCAATCAGGCTGCGAGCTTTCAAGCATCGATCACAGTATAACCAGAGTGAAACCTGAGAACAGCCATTCTGGCGTTTTGCATATGTAAAGGTGCATTTTCACGTGTCGCTCGAACCGGCCGTTTCAGCGACAAAAAGGGTCACGTGATTACTTTTGTCGCAGAATTGTTACAGCGGCAACTATGGCACATGAAAAATGGCAAGAAGCAGCAAATCTGTGTTTAAAAGACAGTTCTAACCTTCAAGCGACAGGACCTCAAACGTGCTTACCAAAGTGCGTATTATGAAACTGTTTGGAATGAATTTTGATCAGAATTATTCAATTATTTTCTATATTTCTATTGTGTTTTCTAGGAAAGACAGAATAATCCCGAGTTATGGCTTCAAAAAAAATATTACAATTGGTTATTAAATTGTAACAAATTCATTTATGAACGTAAAGTCGAATTTGAAAATGATGCAGTTGTTGCAATTGCTATGATTGATTGCTATGAAAAGAATGCTATTACTGTGGAACACAGGACAAAGTTTGCCATCGTCAGCGATGTACTGCGGTAGTATGTCGCACCACAGTATAACCAGTATGCCCACTCGCTCTTTTGTTTCACGTTCGCGCCGATCCGTACTGCGCATCCGACATGTTTTAGCTATGACCAATCACAGGATTTTTGTACGTGTGTTAGTGCAAAGTCGGTGTGACATCGAAAAATTTGCAGTTTTGACGAATAACGCGTTAATACTTTTATACGTTGGAGCAAGTAATTACATTAATTACTTTTATTAGAACATTTTTTTCGTAGGCCATTTCCATTTACAATAAATAATGTACGCTAGTTCGTACGCCCCTTTCCTGGATACGATCCTGAAAAGGGCCCAGGCACTTTTAGCCGTTGATACACTGTTGGGGCTATCAAAAACATGGCGGAAAATTGAGAACGCCCAGATCAAAGGTGCCGACAGAGAGTGGGCATACTGGTTATACTGTGGTCGCACTATTACAGTGCTGCCACATTACATAGTACAACGCTTGAGCGTTAACTTTGTAGTTGAAACTGTTCAAACTACAAAATTTCAGCCGCTGAAATAAGAGCGACAGATCTGTCGCTCCACTTGCTTATTTCAGCAGCACGTGAAATTGCACCTTTACCGTTTTCCCTCGACTGTTTACAGTGCTTTATCCCTATTTTCATTTTTGGAACTATTCCGCTACACCTAGAGACACTATAATCAGAGATGAGACACCAAGCCGGTTCGCCATGTTTAGGCTCGATCCTACGAGAGAGAAAGAAATATACACTATCTCACTCTATCGTATAGTTAGCTCTTTTCAGCTGCACTACTGCACTTGTGTAGCTGACAAAGACCACAAGGACCTAACCACAAAATCACGACAGATTAAGGATACATTTATTAAGTGACTTACTGAATGCAAAATGGGCGAATGCTCGTACCAATTTTGCAATAATTCCTCCAAAAAAGAATATACAATGAGAATTTTCCCCAAAAATGCAGAACGTCGAGCTGTATGGGTACGAAATATGGGTCGTGACAATTGGATACCAACGGATCATTCTTATCTCGGCGAGGTAAAACTATTTTTATGCAATAATTATTATTAAACTATAAAATAAAAATTGTTTTTATCATAGGTACACTTTAGTTCGGAAATGTGCTCTTATTAGGCCTCCCTTTTTCTGTACTTGTACTTTTCATATCAGAGCCTTATGTAATTTATTCGTCATTAATATAGCTTTGTTTTCTGTTCCTGCACTGGTGAACTAGTGCAGTAAGCTAGAATGAGAAAAATATTCTTGTCTTACTCTAATTTATTACACTAGTTCACCAGTGTAGGAACTGAAAACAAGCCTTATAATTCATGTATTTGAAAATCAGCGGCAATAGCATAAACATGGCTGACCAATCAGAATATGATCCCTGGTGTCTCATCTCTGATTATAGTGTCTCTAGCTACACCCATACTCTCAGGTTTCTCTCTAGTATAGTATTGAATTCTATGGTACTATAGTGATGGACGTCAACCGAGATGAACGGTTGCTGCCACAGCGTCACCGCGTATAACGGCGGAATCATGGCTCGCCAGGTTTAGGCAGATTTAGATAAGATTAATTGAGTATTATCAAAATCGTGCGGACTCGCGAGTGTTTCGGCCGCGTATCGTCGGTGCCAGAACGAAGGACGAGAGATGTCCGGCTTTGACGAGAATCCCTTCGGGGAGCCTACGATTAACGATCCCTTCTCGGTGAGTGGCATTTACCTCGCGTGTCTGTGACAGCGACGAGAGCGAGACACGCTCCGTGCTCCAATATTGCTCGCGCGTCTGTCAAAATTCCCCGGGGCGCGAATCGGCCCTCGCCGATTAACTTGCGCGCTCGCGACAACTTCGTCGCGACCTGTCGGACGATCTTGCGCCCCGATAAGCGAAACTTACGATGCTCGAGCGAAGACTCGTCGCATGTGTCATCCTAATGTCGGCGTAATCCGTCTACGTTGACAATCCACGTTTCTTATCGTCTTACGACGCCGATAGTTGATTATAAAATCTCATTCCCTCGACATTTGTACGTTTTATCCGTACACCGTATGCACTTGACGACCGCTGCGTTTTGCACGCGATTTCATGACGTTGCAATAAAGTATAACGTTCAAGTGCCGTTTCCTTTTTGCGTTCGATTACGGTTTAATCTTGCAATCCCTGCTCCGCGATTCAAACGAAGCGTACCCTTCCGAACAACAATTTGTTCAAGTATTTATGCGCGCATTTCTTTGTATCCCATTAAACTGACGCAGCTGCATACCTGTAAGAACAACGGGGGAGATAAGATAAGCAATTTTAAAGGAATGTCGATGATGGATGTTTTAATGCGCGTAACAGGATCCGGCGATACGAAGAGCAGTAACGTCTACGCCGGCCAGTAGAGGTCTCGAAGACTACAATCCTTTCGCCGAGCAAGGCACTCAAGGGACTACACAGGTCAGGGGGGCAGTAAATCCGCCTATCTACGGCGGAGTCGGCGCGACGCAGCAACCGGCTACGCTTCAGCCCACGAACCAGGAAGCGCCGCCTCCTGCGTACGCCCGCACCCCCCAACAAACGGTCAATGCAGCGCTCGGAAGCACCGTGTCACCTCCGTCAGATGTAGATAGTTACATCCAGTATTTATTTGCTCGTATTTTGCACACTCGTGAAGTAAACGAATCTCTTGAGACGAGACGAATTGTTCCAACGTGTTTCGAGTTTCGTACAACTTGTCAAACCACGTAGAGGCTACAGGCAGATCTGTCAGATGCTTCTTTCTGTTTTATGGTCATTAAACGTTTGTTCAACACGTTCGATTTGGCTTTTGTACCACTCGTTTCATTTTGGCATTGATATTGGTCCATTTGAGATAAGCGTGTTCTCGCATCCGAACAAAGAACAAGTCAGTCTTTTTTTCTAACTACCTGACTCAAAAATACTTGCATGTTACCACGGTTTATTTCACACCATTGACTATGTCTCTAACTTTTGCCATGATCTCTTTTATGTCTAGATTCGCGTTTTCAACCATTTACTTTTCTTTTGGTTGCGTTCAACATCGTTAAGTGTTTCACTACTTTGTAACTTACTTATTCGACTAATTTGTAAGAGGACTTAGTGCAATTGAAAAGCTCACACGCACTGTTTATCCCTTGTTAACAAATTATTATTTATTGAGTATAACATTTCTTACTGTTTATAATTTCTGGTGCGCTTGACTGTTTTATATTTGTATGTTAACTAGGCGTTGTTTATATTTGAATCTGTTTTCTTAGCAACGGGCGGAATCGGAATGGAAAGCCAGGGCGGAAGAGGAAATGAGAAATACCCCGTATTACCGTTAGTACATATCATCTATGCTCTACAGTTTTTTTATATTAAATAAAATTGCATAATTCTTTATTGGTACTTTAGCAAGACGAAATAATTGGCCGCCATTGCCAGACAAGTGCTGCTTCCAGCCATGCTTCTATCAAGATATCGATGTGGAAATTCATACCGATTTCCAAAAAACAGTGAGGCAATTGTATTACCTCTGGATGTGTAAGTTTAATCGTGGACGAGATTATATTCACTAATGTTACACATGGATAATGTATTTAATAACATTGTTCACAGTTCACGGCTGTGTTCTGCTGTTGAATGTAATCGGAGGATTCGTCTTGATGCTTTGTGGCCAGGGTTTCTCGGCATTCGGTCTGGCTATCTTGTATCTTATACTCTTTACTCCATTCTCCTTCATGTGCTGGTTCAGACCAGCGTACAGGGCTTTCAAGTAAATCCACTTAACATTTCAGAAATGAGGGGCGAAATTAGAAGTTAGAAATAAATTATTGCTTTAACTTTTCAGGAACGACAGCTCTTTCAATTTTATGGTTTTCTTCTTCGTCTTCTTCTTTCAACTAATTGTCACTGGTATCCAGGCCATAGGTATTCCTGGCGCTGGAACTTGGTAATATATTACTTTTTGTTTTTACTGTAATTTTATGCACGATGTACAAACACTTGTGTGCCAATATAATTTTTACCTTTTATTTTATTTGTCTTTATCTTTCAGTGGCATAATTACCGCAGTTAGTATGTTTGACTCAACGGCCAAAGGCATTTTCGTCGGTCTTCTTATGCTTTTCGTCGCTATTTGTTTTCTTCTTGCGGCAGGCGGTGATCTCTTACTGCTTACTAAGGTACATATAGATTGAGATAAAAAGTGAATATCCATATTGTTCTCGAGAAAAGTAAACGAAGATTAATTTCAGATCCATCGCATTTATCGTACCTCCGATGCAAGTGTTACGAAGGCGCAGCAGGAGTTTGCTACAACATTTTTGCGAAACGAGCATGTGCAAAACGCTGCGAGCAATGTCGCGGCCAGCGCGGTTCGCTCGCAAATGGCTAACGCTAGCCAACCACGTTACTAAATAATTCAATCATTTATTTGTTCTACAAAAAACACTATGTTCTGGCTTTACATCATTCAGTAAGTGGATAGATCTCATTAGTTCCACTATTTATGGATTATACGAAACGATCATAGAAATGCAATGTATTGTAAAAACTTTATTCTTACAATGAAACGCTGCTATGTATGGAAATTGTACTTTACGATCAAATTTATTCTCTGATGTACTGATTGTATTATTCACAATAACTGTATATCAACGTTAACTGTACAGTTAATACTGCAAAGTATTTCGAAGCATTAACGGATATTCTAAAGAGATATTTCGAAACCGGTGTGTATTTTGTCTCTGAATACGGGAGAGGTTCATTTGGACACAGTACAAGTGGACGCTGTGCAAATGGACACGGAATATTGTACACGGTTTATTTAGACAGAAATTTTGGACACATAAAAGTTGCACACTGTAAAGTTGAACACGGTACAAATGGACACCGTTTTTTTTTAAAGTTGCAGACCATAATGTTGGACACGGTGCAAGTGGACACTGTAAACTTGGACACGAGGTAGGTGGACACCGTTTATTTGTCCACGGTAAAAAAGGAATATATTCTCTGCTTTAAAATACATATATTCTATAATAAATAAATATATCCTTTGCTTTAAAATACACGATCTTGTAAAATTACTATTTTTTAAATCATGAACGGTATCCACTTGAGCCGTGTCCAACTTTTTGGCGTGCAACTTTTACCGTGTGCAAATGAGCGGTGTCCACTCGCGCCGTGTGTAACTTTTACGTGTGCAAATGAACGGTGTCCACTCGCGCCGTGTCCAACATTATAGTCTGCAACTTTTCAAAAGAACTGTGTACATTTGCAACGTGCAACTTTTATGTGCAACTTTTATGTGTTCAAATGAACCGTGTGCAATATTCCGCGTCTATTTGCACAGTGTCCATTTCTACTGTGTCCAAGTGAAGGCCACTCTCTGAATACACCATTTCAGCATTTTATGTTGAAGGGAAATTATACATATAACATTTTTATATAAGTTTGATGTATTAGTTTGTATTACTGTTTATCATGCGTTTATTTATGAGATCTTCAAATTAGGTTACAATGATATGAGTGAGCTATTGATAATCGTATCGACCATATCATAATTTTATTATTACATAATTGCTTATATTTGCTAGCTTTCACATTTTAGTGGCACAGTCTCATGACAATGTGATCATACTATAAGTTACGAAAGTAATTAAATTTCCAAGTTCAAGTAACTGCAAGATTCGAATTATAAAACAATTTGATTCCTATTTGTTGAATGTTAACCATAAATGCTAATTTACTTATAAATATTCACAATTAGCTTTCTTACAACACCTTGTGAAATCCTGTACATTCCTGTTTTTATGCAATACGTTGAATTATCTTAGTATGATTGTTGTTTAATATCAAACAGCTTTTATCAAAATGAGGAATATGTTATAGAAAGGAAGTTGGATTTTACTGGAAATTTTATAAATTTGTAAAATAATTTTTTAAATCAAAGCGTTAACAATTGTTATTTGTTGGAACTGAGGTATACGACGTTTTATTTGTATTACTTCACATATAATGGTAATAAATACATATAAATACAACTAAGGTTTAGAAAAATAATCTCTCTTTGAAGTTAACTAAAAGCCTAAATATCTAACATAAAAATATTAAATTACAAATAATTGATTTTTAATTTCGATTATGATGTATTGGCAGGGTAACATTTATATGTGTGGTTCCAATTCTTGTAAATTAAGCCTTTTGAGTAAGTCTTTTGCTGTAAAAAACAAAATATTGAAATATTAGTATCGTTTTTTTTTAGTTGCTGAAGACGATCCTAAACAAGGATCGAAACGTTCGAGATTAAATACAATCATCGACAACTACAACGAAGTGTTGATTTCTGCGCACCACCTACAGCGCTTGGTTCTCAAGTAGTTACCTGCCTTCTTTTAAATTACAGAACCTGAGTTGAATAGTTTATTAGTATCGTATAAGCGACGCCAAAGATTTTATATATTTATATTTCGTACATATATACAGATATGCACACCTTTTAAACGATATGTTGCTACTGGATCTGTTGGAAAGGGACAACCAGCATCAGAATTATCCAACAGTGTGGTTCCAACCAACTCTGCTGCAGTGACAGCATCAATGATTTCTACCTTAGCTCGGTACATTAGTTTTGCATGGCCTTCAGCTAATCTGAAAAGATCAAATCCAATGACGTTATAGATCGCTGATAATCGAAATTGAATCACCATTTATAGATTATACGACCATCACTGCTGAAAATCACCACTGAAGTCGTGTCTTATTGATGACTAATTTAAACGATTACTCTTGTTTCATCTGATTGTTTTACCTGATAAGGCTATCTAAGAGTCGCACTGTTGTTCTCTCAGGCTTTCTACATGGATCTGATCTATGATGAAGATAAGTTGCACTGAGTATCTTTTTTGCCTCTTCGGTTAGCGTTGGCTTTAACGTGCTGCGCACGTGTGCGAAATACTCGCGGAGAGTCTCTTCCGACCACAAGCCCGTTAAATTCAAAGGACCCATGTTCTCGAGTTTAGCGGAATGTCTAATATTTTATATATATTATATTATTGTGAGCAACATTGATTGTGCGAAGAGGGAAATGTGGAAATGTTATTACGAATTGTTTTCTTCGTCTTCACAGGCAGCTTTTAAAATGTGACTCGACGTCAATCTGTCCCATTCGGGATTTCCAGTGTCTCTAAGAAGAAGAATCAGATCGAAGCGCGACAAGAGAGGATTTCCGAGGCAGGTTTTCCACTCTTCGTTCGTGAAACATCCACCGTCCGGATTGATGGCCGCGACAACGGAGCAACGGCTGTTTAATGTGCTCACCATGCCAGCCTTCGCGATGGAGATCGTTTGCTGTTCCATTGCTTCGTGTACAGATGTCCTGTCGTGCGAACTCATTGTCGTGAACTCGTCCACGCAACACACACCTCCATCCGCGAGCACTAAAGCCCCGGCTTCTAAATGCCAACCGTCGGAATCCTGTAATGTATCTCTCACAGTAGATTTCTCTCTTTTTCTCACAAAATGATCGCTTAACTGAAAGCAATGAGTGAAAATGGAGCATTCAACGTGTACTAACTTTGACAGCAGCTGCTGTAAGTCCAGCGGCAGTACTTCCAACACCGGTTGTAAAAACAGACCGTGTGGTCAGTCGAGACGCAACACGGAGCAATTGCGATTTACCGGTGCCAGGATCTCCGACCAGAAGAAGATGAGGCTCACCTCTTACGCGCATTCCCGTTTCATTAGTTTTTGCCACGCCGCCGCACAGAACAACGGCCAACGCTAATTTCGCGATATACATCCCGTACAACTGTCGGGAATCAACAGAGAAACAGAACGTGGTTATTAAACTTAATGAATGAAATATCAAATATTAAATATGTTCAAGAGTATTAAAGTTAAATGTACTTGTGGACAAATAGAGGCGAGAATATTGTCCCTGCCAGACAACGCATTGTCCCGATAATGTTCCCAGTACGCTGTAAAGGTATCGTTTATTTCCGCCGTAGAGAACGTGGCGCCTGTGATTTTCTTGTGCACAGAAATGCTGTTTGCCATCAGGAACGTTGTAGCTTCCGCGCGATGGCCGGCCTTCAACGTACCCCATTTCCGTATAATCACACCGCTACAAATATTTTTATATAATTAATAAAATCCATAAGGCTCTAATGTGTGAACACACAAGTACGAAGTAGTGAAGTAGTAAGAGCCCAGACAGGATGTTAGTGTCAAAATATTTTTATACAATTGCAGCTAATTATTGATGATTTCGATAGATATTGGTTTTTTCTTAAATCATATAAATTATAAGTATATATTGGTAAAATACAAAAATTAATAATCTGTGAACCTGATGTCTACATTATCTCCAGGTTTACACTTGTCAACGAGGTCATCCAACACGACTACTTGCAAACCCACGGAATAGTAACTCCTTGTATCCGTTTTACATTTGTCCTGTATATAAAATGTTACCCAGTTAGAGAGTATAAAGCCTAGTCTACAATGTGCTTTATGCATCTAGAAACATTCTATTTTATACAAGCAAATTGAAACGCTTGAGAAATTTGTCGATAACGTACGATTGTACAATGTATAACATATATTTTATCAACTTGCACAAATTTTTTAATCGTATTTATTGACTACAAAATAGAATGTTTCCAGACGCAAAAAACACATTGTAGATCAGCCTTAATATATAAAGAACCGAGACTAAGTTCTTCTGTACCTGAATCTTTATTTCTTGGTAATCAGAACAATCGTCTTGTTCCAAAGACGTTGAAGCTGTCACACTTTCGGACCGGCATGCTTCGCAATATTTAATGTTTCTGAACAATTGTTTCTCCCATTCTAACTGTAAGGGAAATAAAATTACGGCTAATTGTAACCACTAGCTTGAAGCTATGTATAATTTGCTGTCATTTCATATTGCGTCTTTTGCTAAATACGAAGTTTACCTACTTGCACTATATTAACGTGTTTGCATTTTTTACAGACGAAGCGTTTTTTCAATTTCATAACTGTGGGCTGAGACATGCGTACCACAATTCCGGATGTCGAAACCAGCTCGCCAATCTTACCTATGTCGACGCTTAGCGGTACTGCAGTGATTCGAACGTGAACCTGCATGTTAACGTGATATAATAAAATGAGATCTAGATAGAAGTATATTAACTTTTATTAACAACGTAATAGAAGCCATATCTACATTGTATCTATTTAAATATTTACAACGATGTAACACTTTGTCGCTTAATGGCTGCGTTTAGCGGAAAGAGCTGTTCTCCAACTGTTATAAAATTCGTGAATCTGACTGGTGTATGCTCTTAAATTCACTCGAGATTAAAGCCCGTATCAGACTATGGATTAAGATTGAGATTAGATTGAAATTGGACCAATCAAAGTATTATAGTTTACTCTGATACAGGCTTTAGAGAATACATCAGAGTCATGAATGCTACGACAGATGCCAAGCAGGTTTTTCAGCTGAACGCAGCCAATATGCCATATAAAGAATAAATTAGACAAAGGCTGCAGTCCACGTGACATTACAAATGTCTCGAAGTGTTCCTCTCCTCCCTTCTTCATTGAAAGGCGGGGAAAATGTTTCGTTGCATTTGCAGCATCAAGTGGACTGCAACTAAAATACAGATATCACTTTCGTCGCTGAACTTCGTGGACATGGTAATCCAACGCTTTAACTCAACTAATACGCACGCAATTCGCATGCACTAGTAACGAGTAGAGATTCGTACTTTGGTTTTCACTATTTGCTCCGTTTTGCACAATTGTTCCTGAGCCTTTACCGCTGCCTCGTCACACAGCGGTAAATAGTGTTTGGGATTGCGCAGGATTTTGTTCGCATTCTCCGCGTCAACTCCAAACAAGGACACGAAACTAAAATGTAAGTAACGTGCGATAAGAACACGGTTACGAGATTGTCATAACTCATTAATTTTCAATATGATTTACAGGTAGTCCTTAACGACAGAAATATATATATATACACAATATGTTACACGTGCGCTAACCTAGCAGACGCTTGTAAGCGACTTACTTGATGTATACCGAATAGAATAAATAATCCTCCGTAGCGTTTAATATGTCTTCCAGGTCTTTCGCGTGGTACTTCAAAAGATAATCCTGAAGCATGTTGATAGTTTACGGTGGATTATTATTGATCTTTGACTCGAAAATATATCCGAAGGCGGCCAACACAAAGAGCACGTGGTTATCTTCCCGCCAAGTAGAGGGCTTGCTAAAAATAGTCTTCACTCCCTTTCTCTCTCTTTCCAGACTCCCACCCATCAATTTTCCTCTTGGGGTCCCCGGTAAAAAATTGTAAAATTTTGCTGAAATGTATCTAAAAATCTCAACTGATCCCGTTTCCAACAATTCTTTCATCAATATTTCAATAAAATTTCAGTGAAAAGTCATCTTTGTTAAAAAGTAACACAATTTTTAGTTAGATTCAGTAAATCTCATAATACCTAAAATATTTTATAATTTTTCAATTTTCTCAACTTCTCAAACTTCTCAAACTTCTCAACAGGATATTTAACTTTCTTTGCGTTTCATATATTGCACTGAATTTCACCAAAAAATTATAATTTATTTTGATCTTTAATAACTTAATTTTATTTCGCTTTTTAACTTTCAACAAGGTACATCAGCATGAAATGCTTCTGACTATTGATAAATAAAAGCCAAGGCTACCTTTCTATCAAATAATAATTTACTAATTGTAATTATTTTAACAGAGTGTATTTTTGTATCATTTTTATGTAGGGAAAAGTTCTCTATTATAAGATAGGATTCTAGTGTGAGATAGTAGGTTTTCAACGTTCAAATTTAATCACAAATCTTTTTGCATCGATTACACAATCTA